CCGAGCTCTGGAAGCATTGTGGTTACGTCTGTGCACTCTGGTCCTTCCAAGCAACTCAGTCAACCTGGAAGAGGTCCAGCCTAAGGCTCATGGCATAATGAACTTTGCTTTACAGTGGGAATATCTTATAGTGAGGCTGGATTTTAAGATCATGTTTATTACGTCCATTACCAAAGTTATTCCAGGACATAGTTATAGATAAACATAAAAATTATTCATAAAAAAACTATACACTACTTCTCATCAGATTCCTACACAGGAAAATACTGCTGTGAAATATTGATTATTATTTGCTCCTAAGTATGAGATCTAATAACCTTTGAACATATTTGGTCATTCAAAACCCAGATGCCTTCAGCTATGGAAATAATAAGGATGTAAACTGATAAATATAGTGACTAGGAACAAGTTAAGAAAAAGAAAATAACGTAATTTAATGGGTTTTTTGTGTGTGTGTGCTTCTTTGCATTGATTTTACTTTTAAATAAATATGAAATTAACATCCCACACAAATATGCCCAACTAATTTTTTTACAAAGGTGCAAAAAAAAAAAAAAAACCAACAACTCAATGGAGGAAAGATGGCCTTTTAAACAAATGCTATTGGAGCAGTTGGACTTATATAGGGGAAAAAATAATGCAAAATAGATCATGGATTTAAATGTAAAACAAAAAACTATAAAACTCTTAGAAAAAAAAGTAGAAGAAAATCTTTAGGATCTGGGGTTAGGCACAGAGTTCTTATATTTAACAGCAAAAGCAAGATCTGTGAGATAAATTGGACTTCATCAAAATTAAAGCCTTTTAGTCTGAGTATAAAGGAGCTCTGGTGGCGTAGTGCCTAAGGCATTTGATTGCTAATCATAAGATTGACAGTTCAAACCCACCAGCCACTCTGTGGAAGGAAGACTGGGCTATCTCCTTCAGTAAAGATTTACCACCTCAGAAGCCCAAAGGGGGTTGCTATGAGTCAGAATCCACTTGATAGCAGTGAGGTTTTTTTCCCCTCCTTTTGGTCTGTGTAAAAAGGAGACCTGAAGGCACAGTGCTGCCAATGGATAGGTTGATGGTTCAAATTCGCCAGCTGCTCCACACGAGAAAGAGGTGGCATTCTGCTTCCTTAAAGATGGCAGCCTTGGAAACCCTTTGGTGTAGTTTGACTCTGCCCTTTGGGTTGCTGTGAGTTGGAATCAACTCGATGCCAAGGGCTTGGGATTTTTGGACTCTGTATAAACGTCTGTTAAGAAGCTGAAGGCACAACCCGCAGGCTGGGAGACAGGATTTGCAAGCCACATGTCCAACAGAGGTCTCGTGTCTACAACATATAAAGGACTCTCAAAACTCACAAGCAAAAAATCTTGAAGAGATGTTTCAACAAAGAAAGTATCAATTGAAAACAAACAAA